CGCACGGATGACACGCGTCACCCCGAAAACCGAGAACAATTAATTGTTCATTCGTATTCTGGGCGTCAACATGGGGCCATACAATGTGAAGCAACACACGGGTGACACGTATCACCCCGAAAACCGTGTGAGAAACACCAAATGCTTCACTCGTTTACTGGGCGCCAACATGGGGCCATACAATGTGAAACAACACACTGGTGACACGCGTCACCCCGAAAACCGAGAACAATTAATTGTTCATTCGTATTCTGGGCGTCAACATGGGGCCATACAATGTGAAGCAACACACGGGTGACACGTATCACCCCGAAAACCGTGTGAGAAACACCAAATGCTTCACTCGTTTACTGGGCGCCAACATGGGGCCATACAATGTGAAACAACACACTGGTGACACGCGTCACCCCGAAAACCGCGTGAGCAAAACCAACCGTTTCACTCCTATTCTGGGCGCCAACACAAGGGCCATCAAGTGTGAAGCAACACACGGGTGACACGTGTCACCCCGAAAACCGTGTGAGAAGCACCAAATGCTTCACTCGGTACTGGGCGCCAACATGGGGCCATACAATGTGAAACAACACACTGGTGACACGAATTTGTTTCACTCGTATTCTGGGCGCCAACATGGGGTCATACAATGTGAAACAACACACGGGTTACACGTGTCACCCCGAAAACGTATGAGAAAAACCAATTGTGTCACTCGTATTAGAGTCTAGTGACCAGGATTCGTGGGCCCTAGACTCCAAGGCCCAGGATTCCTGGGCCCTAGACTCCAAAGCCCAGGACTCCTGGGCCCTAGACTCCAGGTCCCAGGAGTCCTGGGCCCTAGACCCCCGTCCCAGCTGACGTTGATGTTGGGGGTCCAAGGCCAAGGACTCCTGAGCCCTTCACTCCAAGGCCCAGGTCTCCTGGGCCCTAGCTTCCATGGCCCAGGACTACCAGAAGAGGGTTGGACAAAAAACACGAAACGAACAACGAAACGAAGGCCCGGAACTACGGCCAAGGCTACGGCACGGGCTGGGGCCCAGGCTGACGACCAGGCCAGGAGCGCAACAACAATGACCGGAGGGAAACATCGAAACGAAAAACGAAACGAACGCCCAGGAACAGTGCCAGGGCGAGGGGCGAGATTCGGGCTAAGGCTCTCGCCCAACGAAACGAACAACGAAACGAAACGAACGCCCATGACTACGGCTAGGGCTACGGCAGAGGCTGGGGACCATGCTGAAAACGAAGGATACAATCACCAACAAAACGAACACCAAAACAAAGCGTCAAGCAATAAACAATCTGTTTATCAAACACACTCAGAACATCGAAGGACAACGGCGGCGCGAATCAAAACGGACAACGAAACGAACCGCCGAATGAACGGGGCAAACAAAACGAAAAACGAAACGCAAGTTTGCAAACGCACCAAAACAGAACGAACAACAAAACGCGCGCCCCAAACAAACGTATAACATTCAAACACGCTTTAAACAGAAACGAACAGCACAACGGAACAACAACGATCAACGAAACGAAAACACACAACAAGGGCAACAACCAAGCTAAACAACGTTGTGTTCGGCCCTTGGAAAAGAGACTGGCCGTCACGATGTCTCAGTCCGCGAGACCCACAAAGGGCTCTCGACCCTATCCCTGCGGGCACTCGTTCACATCAGTTCCAGATTTGGTGGTCCAGTGCAGCCCGTGGAGGCCGAAGTCGAAGATGAGTCTAGCGTGGGCCCCAACGAATGAAGTAGCGCAATGCGTGTGGGGCAATGCACAATAGACGAGTAGCAACGCATGAGTAGCGCAAGCAATGCAAGGCGCAACCCATGGCATTAAAAGACTTTGGACCAGCACGTGCAGAGCGCATGGGCGCAACCCGTGACGATCTCGTGGCTGGGCCAGCAATGTTAGCCTACGATGCGAGCCATGGGCGCGACCGATGACGCAGTAGTGGGCGCAACCTGTGGCACACCCACTGGACACAACCCGTGGCACCCCCAAAGCCCTGGGGCAAGAATGCGCAAACCAAGGCGCAGCCAGCCTCTGGCGCAACCCACGGGCTCAACCTGCGGCACCCCCAGGCCCTCAGGTCAAGCCCTCGCAGTTTGAAAGACACGGAGGAGCCTCGAGATGCAAGCACTGTTTGGGGGAAGGAGCGCCGGGATGTAAGCGGCTAGCAGCTCCCATTGGCGAGCCCCTGGATGCTCCCCGCAGAAGAATGCCCCTGGCCGCCCCGGAAACAACAACGGGCGGACTGCCCAGCGCGGGTGCCCGCGAGGCGACGCCGTGCCCATCACGCGCTCGGTTTTCAAGGGTACACCCTCGCGCGCGCTCTGCGCTCGCATGGCGCGCGGGCGCGGGGCACCGCCGTGCCGCTCGCGCTGCTGGGCCCATGGGCTGATGTCGTCACGCGATCCTGGTCGCGATGGAGTGGCGGGCACGGTCTCACCGATTTGGGGGCAGCGCAGGAAGCCACGCCATCATGAGTGCCCAGATCCCTGCGGTAGACATATAAGCCACGGGCCCTGGCCAAGCAAATTGAGCGTGGACTCTGCAAGCAAGCCCTGAGGCGCGCAGCTGGAGGACCAATTCTAGGTCACGTGTGCAGTCGAATTCAAGAGATCCAATCCAGCCACGCTGGGAGCACAATTGAACGTGCACTCTACAACCAACGCCCGAGTCGCGCAGCCCGAGGACAAATTCTAGGTTACGTGTGCAATTGAATTCAAGGTTCCAATCCAGCCACGCTGGGCGCGGATAGCAAAAATTCGGTGGGCCCTCACACTGCCCTCACCTCGCCAGCACCAGCCTCCGCCGCCGAGGACTCACGCCGCCTCCATCGCCGTGAGCTCCTGGCGCGACGCGCCGCCTGGGAGGCGCAGGAAGCCGCCGCTGGGGCGCCCGGAGCTGCGGCGGCACGCGACGCCGGCGGCCGCGATCAGCAGAGGCACGGTGGCGAAAAGCAGCGCTGCCTGCCCGAAGGACGTCCGCCGGCCGCCGTGGCCGAGGGCGCTCTGCCCGTCCGCGCGGCTCTCGTCGTCCTTCTTCATGATCCCGAGCAAGCTGTCCACCCCTGCGAGGGCGCCGACGCTCTGCTGCACCCCGCCGAACGCGCCGGCGGATGGCGTGCACTGGCTGTAGTAGTCGCCGTTCTGCGTGCAGGTCGAGCCTTCTGCGCAGCATGTCGGGCCGGTCCACTGCACCCCGCCGCACTGCTGGTAGGCCGCCGAGCACGCGCCGCCAGCCAGCGCGGCACCCGCCTGCACTGGCTGCAGCGGCTGCTGCGCAGGCTGCTGCTGCTGCTGCTGCTGCTGCTGCTGCTGTGCAGTCTGCGGCTGCGCAGGCTGTGCAGGCTGTGCTGGGCACCACTGCCCCTGGCTTGCACACGCCTTGCAGCTCTCCTGTGACGCCCCGCACTTGGTGTCAGACGAGTACCTCGCAGCGGGGACGCAGCCGTCCGGGGCGCAGAAGTCGGCGCCGCTGCCCGCGAAGCAGCAGAAGGCCTCGGTCGCGGGAGTGCCCTGCACGTCCGCCACCTGCTGCGTGGCCTGCTGGAGCCAGGGGTTGCCCTGCTGCTGCACCTGGCTGGGCTGCTGGAGCGTGACCTGCGGCTGCTGGGGCTGCTGCTGCTGCTGCTGCTGCTGCTGCTGCTGCAGGTCCGCGCCGCATGACCCAAACCCCGTGGCGGCGCTGCCGCCAGCGGCGTGTGCAGAGGTTGCCGGCGGCTCGAAATTTGCGTTGAGGGCCAGCTGCTGCACCTGGTAGTCGAACCATGCGCCGGCCTCGGGAGCCCTGGGCTCGGTCGTCTGGGAGCCGATGGAATCGCTGGAGCCGCACATGTTGTCGAAGCGCGGGCACGCGCCGCCGTCGGGCAGTTCCTGGCTGCAGCCGTCCGACTCGCCCGGCGTCTTCAGCCAGAAGTAGGCGTCGATCATGCTGGCGTTGGCCACGTCGGTGGTGGACGGGACTCCGGCGCCGGCGTTGCGGGGATTGCACCAGTTCTTGCAGTCCTGGCGCATGTCCGCGACGCCGTTCCTTCCGGTGTCGATGATGGCGTGCGCGTCCATGCCGAGCAGGTCGTTCGCCGCCAGGATGAGGTCCTGGGCGTAGTTGAGCTCGTTGTTGCCGGCGCTGTACTGCCCCAGCAGGTCGCAGGGGTCCGCGCAGCAGGGGTCTGTCTTGTGCCGGCCGTTGAGGCAGTATGCGTTGCGCCAGCCCTGGTCGGGGCAGAATGGGCACATCTGGCCCAACGGCTGGTAGTTCGCGACGTTCGTGGCAAAGCCGCGGATCTTCGCCATTGGGAAGGCAGCCTTCTTCAACAGGGCCATGAACTTCTCCAGGTTATCCTCCCAGCCGACCCAGCCGCCGTGAGCTGCGTCCAGGTAGACTGACACCTTCGGCACCTGGGTCGTCAGCTGCTCCAGCGCGTAGCCGATGCCCTTCGTGTAGGCGGCCTGGGTGGCGGGGTTGCCACAGTGCGGGTGGCCCAGATTGGTCGCGAGGTTTGGCAGGCTGTCGGGCTCGACGACGACCACGATGGGCAGCTTGGACTCGTACTCCTTGAGCACCTTGATGAAGGGGTCGGCGTACTCCGTCTTGTACTCTTCGATGCCCTCGGCACAGTCCCCCGTCTTATCGTAGTCGCACCTTCCGTCCTCGCCCGCGTAGCAGCAGATCTCACCGTTGGAGGCCAGGGCATCGCAGTCGCGGTTCGGGAGGTCGTACCAGATGACCACCACGAGCTCTGGGGGCGACTTGCTGGAGGCGTCCTTGAGGATGCCCTCGAGGCTCTTGGTGTCTGTACCGCGCACTTTGGCCTTCACGTCGATCCAGTAGGCGGAGGGCACCTTCTGCATCTTCAGCAAGTTCTCCTTCGTCTTGCCCGTGGCCTTCGCAATGGACCCGTCGAACTCCTTGGCGTTCACGGGGTTGACATAGAACGCCTGTCCCTGGAAGGGGTTCGAGCTCGCTGCCTTGCCCTCGGCCGCCGCCAGCAGGCCGGAGCCGAGCACGGCGGCCCACGCAGCGGCAAGCGGCGCCATCACGCCGACTTCGCGGCCCCAGCTGGTGCGCCAGGACGCGCGGGGGAGCTGCGCTGCTGACCCCTGGGCCCACGGGCCTTGACCCCAAACGCCTGCGGAGGAGGGAGGGAGGGAGAGGCACGAGAAGGAGGGAGGAGGGCCGAAGGGGAGCCTCCGCGAACACCGCCCTCGAAACAAGCTCTGTGCTGCCGACGCCTCCATCGGCCGTGCACCTTGCAGCGGCCGCGCCGCTCGGAGCCCTCCCCTCCGACGTCGCGACGTTTCTCGGGGCGCGGGCCCCAGGGGGCTCTCGACCCCCCTGCCCGGGGACGGCCTTCCACCCCAACCAAGTCGTTGATTTGACGGTCCTGGGGCCCGGCACGATCCAGCCGGTGGCCCGAGCGGAAAAGAGCGCGGACCGAGCACAACGATGCTTAAATCGCGCTGGCGCTCCGAACGGAAACGAAGCGAACCCGACCGTTGTACAACGAACGGTGAAAACGAAACCGGTGCACACGAAAACGAAAAACGACACGAGGCCACCGACCATACAGAGAAAACAAAACGAACATCGAAACGAACTTCGCAGACCGCGCTGGAAACAAAACGAAAAACGAACTGAAGACATGGGACGACGGCTGGGGCCAGGGCGAGGTTCTGGCTGGGGCTTGAACCAGACAAAACGACAAAACAAGACACATGAAGAACAAAACGAAAAACGAACCAGGGCTGCAGCGAGGGCTACAGGGCCGGGGCTTGGGCGAAGGGCGAGGTCCCGTTTGAGGCGCGGGCGAAAACAAACGACACGGACACGTGCCACCCAGAAAATGGTGTAAGAAAAACCAGCTGTTTCACTCGTATTCTGGTCGCCAGCATGGGGCCATACACTTTGAGAAACGACACACGGGTGACACGTGCCACCCCGAAAATCACGTGAGACAACCAAGTGTCAGACTCGTATTCTAGACGCCCACATGGGGCCATACAATGTGAAACAACATACGGGCGACACGTGTCACCCCGAAAACCGTGTGAGCAACACCAATTGATTCATTCGCATTCTGGACGCCAACATGGGGCCATACAATGTGAAACGACATGCGAATGATGACCCGTGCCACCCCGAAAACCGTGAGAGCAAAACCACCTGTTTCACTCGTATTCTGGGCGCCAACATGGGGCCATGCAATGTGAAACAACACACGGGTGACTCGTGTCACCCCGAAAACCGTATGAACAAAACCAATCGTGCCACTCGTATGTTGGGCGCCAGCATGGGGCCATACACTGTGAAACAACACATGGGTGACACGTGTCACACCGAAAACCGTGTGAGAAAACTCAACTGTTTCACTCGCATTCTGGGCGCTAACATGGGGCCATACAATGTGGAACAGCACGCGCGCGACACGTGTCACCCCGAAAACCGTGTGAACAAAACCATTTACATTTGTTTCACCCGTATTCTGGGCGCCCAAGTAGGTCATACAGTGTGAAGCAGCACACGGGTGACACGTGTTACCCAGAAAACCGTGTGACAAATGACACGTTGTTTCACTCGTATTCTGGACGCCAACATGGGGCCATACAGTGCGGAACAACACACGGGTGACACATGTCACCCCGAAAACCATGTGAGAAAAACCAGCTGTTCCACTCCTATCCTGGACGCCAACATGGGGCCATACAATGTGAAGCAACACACGGGTGACACGTGCCACCCCGAAAATGGTGTAAGAAAAACCAGCTGTTTCACTAGTATTCTGGTCGCCAACATGGGGCCATACATTTTAGGAAGCAACACACAGGTGACACATGTCACCCCGAAAATCGCCTGAGAAAAACAATGTGTGTCAATATTATCCGCGTGTCAATATTATCCTAGTCGCCAAAATGGGGCCATACAAAGTGAAACAACACGTGGGCGACACGTGTCACCCCGAAAACCGTGTGAGAAAAACAATTGTTTCACTCGTATTCTGGGCGCCAACATGGGGCCATACAATGTGAAACAACGCACGGGTGACACATGTCACCCCGAAAACCGAGAACAATTAATTGTTCATTCGTATTCTGGGCGTCAACATGGGGCCATACAATGTGAAGCAACACACGGGTGACACGTATCACCCCGAAAACCGTGTGAGAAACACCAAATGCTTCACTCGTTTACTGGGCGCCAACATGGGGCCATACAATGTGAAACAACGCACTGGTGACACGCGTCACCCCGAAAATCGCGTGAGCAAAACCAGCCGTTTCGCTCCTATTCTGGGCGCCAACACAGGGGCCATCAAATGTGAAGCAACACACGGGTGACACGTGTCACCCCGAAAACCGTGTGAGAAGCACCAAATGCTTCACTCGGTACTGGGCGCCAATATGAGGCCATACAATGTGAACCAACACGCTGGTGACACGAATTTGTTTCACTCGTATTCTGGGCGCCAACATGGGGTCATACAGTGTGAAACAACACACGGGTTACACGTGTCACCCCGAAAACCGTATGAGAAAAACCAATTGTGTCACTCGTATTAGAATCTAGTGACCAGGATTCGTGGGCCCTAGACTCCAAGGCCCAGGATTCCTGGGCCCTAGACTCCAAAGCCCAAGACTCCTGGGCCCTAGACTCCAGGTCCCAGGAGTCCTGGGCCCTAGACCCCCGTCCCAGCTGACGTTGATGTTGGGGGTCCAAGGCCAAGGACTCCTGAGCCCTTCACTCCAAGGCCCAGGTCTCCTGGGCCCTAGCTTCCATGGCCCAGGACTACCAGAAGAGGGTTGGACAAAAAACACGAAACGAACAACGAAACGAAGGCCCGGAACTACGGCCAGGGCTACGGCACGGGCTGGGGCCCAGGCTGACGACCAGGCCAGGAGCGCAACAACAATGACCGGAAGGAAACATCGAAACGAAAAACAAAACGAACGCCCGGGAACAGTGCCAGGCGAGGGGCGAGATTCGGGCTAAGGCTCTCGCCCAACGAAACGAACAACGAAACGAAACGAACAACGAAACGAACGCCCATGACTACGGCTAGGGCTACGGCAGAGGCTGGGGACCATGCTGGAAACGAAGGATACAATCACCAACAAAACGAACACCAAAACAAAGCGTCAAGCAATAAACCATGATTCGCGCTTTACTGCCCATGCCAAAATGACGACGATGCTCATTACCTTTTGCCGGGGCCAACTGCTTATGACCACTTCAAAAGCTCTGAATCGGGATCGCCTGCTCGGCAGGCGGCACGAGACGCTAGCAGCTCCACTGCCTCCAAACTGAAGCCCCTAGAGGGAAGAAGAGGAAGGAGGAGAAAAGGGAAGGACGGTGGGGCCGCTAAAAAACTTGAGCATATATGCGTACGGAATCACATGTCGGCATTCAACGTACCGCTAATCATTCAAGAGCGAGCTCTACACATGATTCACGCTTTACTGCCCATGCCAAAATGACGACGATGCTCATTACCTTTTGCCGGGGCCAACTGCTTATGACCACTTCAAAAGCTCTGAATCGGGATCGCCTGCTCGGCAGGCGGCACGAGACGCTAGCAGCTCCGCTGCCTCCAAACTGAAGCCCCTACCCACCCCCCAAATAGTGCATTGGCCCGCTGGCTGATCGCTTTCGCCAGCACGGTGCACAGGGCGGGCGGATACGGGCAGGCGCGGGACGTCCAGAAATTTCCCTGGGAGTCCTTACCTCGCAGGGTAATGTGTTTTTTTCCCGGAGGCACTACAGCGAGCTTGTGTTCCTGAACATGTGAGCAGAACATCATCTAATTCTGGCAAGTTAAAGGTCAGAAAGATCGTGGCTTTCCGCCACGGCACGTTGTACTGGCAGTAATCCACACGATGGAACTTTGCTTTGTATGCATTAGCCAAATCAAGTAATTGCGGCGTCATCCAGAGCCTAGACGAGGCAGGATTTTCAATCAGCACGAAAAGGTTGGCGGCGACAGCCTCCTCGACCAGGCTTAGGATGTTTCTGAAAATTACATTAGCGCTGTCTATCTTACTCCAATCGGCGGGAGCGAGAGCAGGCAGGCCAAAAATATGCCGGTTACTACGCAGCGGCGGCGGCCCAAGGCCGTCATTCTTTCTGGCCCTCGACCAAGTCTTGCAATCCAGGCCGAAGTGCAGGCCGCACAGTCGACGCTGGCGGATGCGCTGCCGGAAGCCCTCGATCACTGCGGGGGCCTCGAGGTCGGCCGCAGCCCCGTCGGTGTAGTCCCAGCCCTCGGCAGCAAGCCCGCACTCGCCGACGGCGGCCGCGAGGTGAGCGGACCCGCACATGAGCTCGGCGAAGGGCGGGATCCCTGAGCTGAGACCGGGCGGCGGCCCGAAGCGGCGCGGAGGGCCTTGCTCGGCAGGCCCGCGGGGCCGCTGGCGGGCCGCCTGCGCCGCCCGCGCAGCCCGAGGCTTGTCAACACCAGCCCTTCGAGCTTGCCCGGCGCCTCCCGTGCCCGCCCGAGGCCTCCTGCTGCTGGACGAGGGCGTGGGCCTCGTAGCGCCTGACGCTCTTGTCGGAGGCCCACCTTCCGCGCTCCTTGATCTCGGGCAGCGAGCGCTGCCGCCGGAGCCGGTCGTGGGGGGGGCCCCCGTGCAGGAGCTGGCGCAGCGCGAACCTGTTGGGGATGCCCAGGGCGCGGAGCGCGGCGGCCCAGACGCCCCGCAGCTGCAGCACCGTCAGGTCGAAGAGCGGCCGAGAGGGCAGCCCCGCCTTCAAGCTCTGGAGCGCCTCCCCGAGCCACAGCGCCTCCGTGGGGTCCAGCAGGAGGGACTCGTCGGACAGCCTGACCTTGCTCACCTCGCCGCGGTCGCTGGGGCGCAGGTTCACGGCGAAGAAAGGCGACGACGTCGCGGGCGGCACCAGGTCCTGCTCCAGAAGGCCTTCCGCCTCGGAGGGGCGCAGGTAGGCCAGGAACATGGTGAGCACCATCAGGGCGGCCGCTGGCTGCTTGAGGGTCGTGATCATGACCTGGGCAATCAGAGCAGTCACCACCCAATGGGACCGGGGGGCGTGTGACTCCTGGGTCGAGCCGCTCCCGCCCCTGCAGCGCCCGCGACAGCCGCGGGAGGCGCAGCCCACCGCGCCGGGAAAAGTCGGGGTGCTCCGAGACGAACGCCGCGTAGACCCGCTGGACCGCGCCCTTGTCGAGACCCTCGGCCCAGGCGAAGTTGGCGTAGTTCGTCAGCGCCAGGTCGGCCGCCGCGGGGGTGTCGAGCGAGAGCCCGTTCACGGCGACAAACTGCCTGAGCTCGACCATGCACTCCGCGTAGGTCTTCTGGGTGTCGGGAGCCACGGCGTTGGTCTCCAGAAACGACTGCGAGCCCGCGGGCACCAGCCGGAAGGTCCCTGCGGCCGCCGCCCGCCTCGCCGATCGCTCCTCGCGGGAACTCCCCGCGAAAGGCCGCCCCCCCAGCTGCTCCTTGCGGAGCGCAGCCCGAGCCTGGGCGACTCGGCGCGCGGGCGCGCGGCGCAGCCGCGAGGTCTCCATGCGGGCGCTCCCACCGGCGTGAACCCTTGTCCAAGTGGTTCAGCTCAGACGGGATCCAGCGATTCTCGAACCGAACATTGGCTGCGACGGAGTAGGCTGCCTCTCGGCGGCAGCACAGGAGCAGGCCAAAGGCTGAGCACCTGCCCCGAGACAGCGCCAAGACGGTCCCCAGATTGTCCCCGAGCTTCAGGTGCCGCTTGTTGAAGGCCCTCGTGGACCTGAGGATGTGCCTAGAGGCCGCGTTGCTGGCCCTCCCCTCCAAGACCGTGATGCTTTCCGATACGTGGAACGGGGCCGCGAACACTTCGGTCCAGGCCTCCTCGCTGAGCACGCTGTGTGGAACCTCGGCGAAGTCCGGATTGAGCTCCCAGGGGTCCTCTGAGCCTAGGGGGTACTCGACGCTCTTGACAGCGTTGACATCCCCGAAGACATCCATGTTGACATAGCCGCGGGGCCCCATCGGAGCCCTCCCTGACGATAGCCTCGCGCGGGTCCCCGTAGGTGTCCTCGTTGGAGCCCTCCCCGAAGATGGCCTCGCACGGGTCCCCGTCCGTGTCCTCGTTGGAGCCCTCCCCGAAGCTGGACGCAAGAGCAGACTTCCTCGCAGACGCGGCCGTCGGCACTCGGTACCGCCACCTCTCACTCACTCTCCCGATGGACGAGACGACGGAGACAGGGAGGTTGGTTGTTGCCACGGCCATCCCGGAAAGGCGCGCGTCACTGGCGACGACAGTCGGGCTCCATGGCATTCGCAAGTTACTGAACATGACGCTGAGCAAAGACCGGCACTGGGCGACTTCCGCCGCTGCCGAGGGCCACAGGCGTCTCCTCTCTGTGTAATGCTCGCTGATGAAGTCATAGAGTGCCCTCAAGATGCATAACAACTCTCTCCGAAGCATGATGTGATCAATGACGTGTCCGACGAAACGTTCGATCTCCTTGCATGTGACCCTCGGCCTCCGCTCAAGCCAAAGACAAGCCTGCCTGAGCCTATCAGTGCGCTCTGGGCGTGAGAAGACCATCCCCTGCACCCCGTCGACGAGACGGCCCGAGCTGGAGAAGGTGGGCGAGGCTCGTGCGACCTCGTGGATCTCAACGCCGAGGGAAGTCCAGCTGGAAATTATATCGTCTAACATCTTGTCACACTGGTGCGGGTCTGTCCCCACCAGGTTTATGTTATCACAATAAGGGAGCAGACGCGGCCTACCCTCCCCCAGGGACGGAACTGGACCATGGTCCGTGAGCAGGCGCTCAGGACCCACCGAGGCAGCCTGCAGGCATCGAAAGACGTTGCAGCGCTGCCCCAGCCAGAAGGCCCAGTTCCATCCCATCGGAACCACGGAGAGGAAGGGCCAGACCCAACCCCCGCGCTCCACCTGGGGCGAGTCGACCGCGCTGCACCCCCACTGTGACAACATAGCCTCGGGCACCGGCGGGAGCGAGAAGAACAGTCCGAGCTCCTCCCTCAGACCGAATGCGTAGAAATAGTTGCGGATGTCGGCCTGCGCGCAGTACAACATCTCCTTGAAGCTGCCAGTCTCGTCGACGTCGTCCTGCAGGCAGACCCTGCCGTAGGCCGCCGAGGTGCCCATGCTCTGCGGCGGCGCGTGCTTGAAACGCCTGTTGGGGATGCGGGCGCCCCGCGCCAAGCGCTGCTGGCCGTTCTTCTTGCTGACAAAGAACGGCGTCACCAAGTCCTTACGGTTGAAGGTAAAGGAGACCATGCCCGCGGACACGAGGTCGCTCACGAACGTCACGTAGGCGTCGTCATGCTTCCGCAGGTACTCGCCCATGTAAGGGGTGATGGGGGGCTCGGTCTCCACGATCCTGCCCCACTCATCAGCAGAGCGCAGCATGCGCGCCTCGAAGTGCAGCAGATACTCCCTCCCGACGGGGTCGATCACAGCCTCGACCCGTGGCACCGACGAGCCCACTCTGGGGATGTCTACTCGAGATCTGTCATACCGCACCACCGGACTCTTAGCCTCCTCGCCTGTGTACGAGAGGTTGATAGCCAGAAGCTCACGAGCGGCCTCACGGCGTGTATACATGGTGTTGGCTCTTGGGGCAGCCTTCACCTGAGAAAAGATGGCCCGATGGGCCCCCCTCTGAGCAGCATTCGCAGGACCGTGCCGCGGCTGCGGAGGATGAAGTAAGCTGATGCCGTCTATCACCTCATTGCATTCAGCCTGAAGTCGGCGACGACGGGCCAGCCTGCGGCGGACGCACTCCGAAGCCCCCGGCCTCGTGGGTGGCGCCACCTCGACCCTCGGCAGCGGGAAGAGATCTCGCTGGCGGTCTGGCTGAGCGGACAAAACTGCGGCGGGTCGTTCCCGCTCGTGGGTCTGTTGCCGGCTGGAGCGCGGCCCGAAACTCCAGCCTGAGGAAGTCATTGCCCTGCGCCCCCAGCTCCGCCTGGGGGATGCTTGCCGGACTTCCTGAGCTTGGCCTCCTCCTTCGCCTTGCGCTTCTCCTTCTGGATGGCGACCTCGTCCTTGAGGCCCTCCGCGATGTACTTCTGGAACGCTGGTACGACTGAAGCACCATCCTTCCGAGTCTGGAGCCCCATGTACAGGTCGGCCGCCGAGTAGTCAGGGTTCGAGGGAGACCCCCGATGAGCGTCCTCGATGAGCTGCATGCGGCGCGCCAGCAGCTCTGCAGACTGCAAGGCGCCAATGTTGAGCTGGTCCACAGTCAGCATGGACTCCAAGACCCGACATATCATCTCGTGCTCGTGCACCGAGCGGTCGCCCTCGGGGATCCTCGCACCCCTCACCCAGCTCTCATGGTGGGTCACCGCCGAAAGCCCAGCATCGCGCCAGGAGCGCGCGAGGGGCAGGGCGGTGCGAGGCCCCTGCACCAGGACTCCATCTTCGGGTTCGTCAGCGACTTGGTTGTCGACCGCCTCGGCGAAAGGCCTCCGCCGCACCCCCTCGTTGTTGAACTTCACCTGCATGACCCTGAGGTCGTCGACCACGTAGCTGTCCAGGTCGCGGCGGGCGACGAGGCGGGCCACGATCTTGCCAGCTGGGAGCTCGACCACCGCGCAGTCACCAACGATGGTCGACCCGTCAGGGAGCGAGCGGGTCGGGGAGCTGCTGCCCCCTGGTGTATCTGTGGTAGTCCTCCGTGGCGACCCAGACCGAGCCAGGCGGAACTGGGGGCGCGGCTGCGCCCGCGCGCCCGACGACGCCCGCGATCCCCGGGCCACGAGCCGCGCCCGCTCCAGCGCCGGGTGCTCCCGCCGCGGCCTGGGGGGCGCCTCCCGCCAGAGCTGGCGCCACCTGCCCGACGCGGCCCCCGACCATGAGCGCACCGTCCCGCTTGAGCTGCTCCATCAAGGCCGCGTCGGGCGGGTTGCGAAACCTGTAGATGCGTCGCGGGTCCACGCCCGCGGGAGTGTCTCCAGGCCGAGCTATCCACCTCACCTCGGCGATATCGTCATTCTGCTGGCTCACGTCCTCGGCATAGTGGTCGCCGTCGTTGGTGTGGTTGGCCACCAGCGACGGCTCCGTCTCGGAAACACCCGTGACCACCCGCTCATGGAAGATCTCGGGCCCCGGAACCTCGTACCTGATCAGCAGCCAGTCCCCTGGGGCGGCCATCTCACGCCTGCCGGAGCGGCGGGCGCCGCCTCACCTGCGCCACCTGCGCCCGCGCCAGCTCGCCCAAGTCCGCGTCCTCCTCGACAGCCGCGCGGCGGCGGCGGCAGCCCCGACGAGCCCGCGAAGCTGTCGCCCCCAGAGCCCCCGTGATGCCGCCGACGGCCACGGAAGCTCCGTCGAAGCCGAGGACGTCGCCCTCGGCCCGCAAGGGGTACACGGCGGGGCACGAGAGGTTGACGGGCGGCGGCTGGGGGCACGCAAGCTGCACCACCGGGGCTGGGCAGCTCAGGTTGGCCACCGGGCAGGGGGGGCACGTAAGGATGGCCCCCGGACACGTGAGCCTGCAGTCAGGGCAGGCTGGCACCCCGTGCGAGAAGGCGAGGTACTGCGCGAAGAGCTCCGCCCCGCGCCAGAGCCCTGCCTTCAGGTTGGGCCCGACAGGGGCCCCACGCACAGCGGCGGCCGGGCCAGGGAGCATGCGGTGCCCTGGGTCTCTCTCCGCCGCTAAAAAACTTGAGCATATATGCATACGGAATCACATGTCGGCATTCAACGTACCGCTAATCATTCAAGAGCGAACTCTACACATCTTTTTATCAAGCACAATCAGAACATCGAAGGACAACGGCGGCGCGAAACAAAACGGACAACGAAACGAACCGCCGAATGAACGGGGCAAACAAAACGACAAACGAAACGCAAGTTTGGAAACGCACCAAAACAGAACGAACAACAAAACGCGCGCCCCAAACAAACGTTTGACATTCAAACGCGCTTAAAACAGAACCGAACAATACAACGGAACAACAACGATCAACGAAACGAAAACACACAATAAGGGCAACAACCAAGCTAAACAACGTTGTGCTCGGCCCTTGGAAAAGAGACTGGCCGTCACGATGTCTCAGTCCGCGAGACCCACAAAGGGCTCTCGACCCTATCCCTGCGGGCACTCGTTCACATCAGTTCCAGATTTGGTGGTCCAGTGCAGCCCGTGGAGGCCGAAGTCGAAGATGAGTCTAGCGTGGGCCCCAACGAATGAACCAGCGCAATGCGTGTGGGGCAATGCACAATAGACGAGTAGCAACGCATGAGTAGCGCAAGCAATGCAAGGCGCAACCCATGGCATTAAAAGACTTTGGACCAGCACGTGCAGAGCGCATGGGCGCAACCCGTGACGATCTCGTGGCTGGGCCAGCAATGTTAGCCTACGATGCGAGCCATGGGCGCGACCGATGACGCAGTAGTGGGCGCAACCTGTGGCACACCCACTGGACACAACCCGTGGCACCCCCAAAGCCCTGGGGCAAGAATGCGCAAACCAAGGCGCAGCCAGCCTCTGGCGCAACCCACGGGCTCAACCTGCGGCACCCCCAGGCCCTCAGGTCAAGCCCTCGCAGTTTGAAAGACACGGAGGAGCCTCGAGATGCAAGCACTGTTTGGGGGAAGGGGCGCCGGGATGTAAGCGGCTAGCAGCTCCCATTGGCGAGCCCCTGGATGCTCCCCGCAGAAGAATGCCCCTGGCCGCCCCGGAAACAACAACGGGCGGACTGCCCAACGCGGGTGCCCGCGAGGCGACGCCGTGCCCATCACGCGCTCGGTTTTCAAGGGTACACCCTCGCGCGCGCTCTGCGCTCGCATGGCGCGCGGGCGCGGGGCACCGCCGTGCCGCTCGCGCTGCTGGGCCCATGGGCTGATGTCGTCACGCGATCCTGGTCGCGATGGAGTGGCGGGCACGGTCTCACCGATTTGGGGGCAGCGCAGGAAGCCACGCCATCATGAGTGCCCAGATCTGGGCGGTAGACATATAAGCCATGGGCCCTGGCCAAGCAAATTGAGCGTGGACTCTGCAAGCAAGCCCTGAGGCGCGCAGCTGGAGGACCAATTCTAGGTCAGTGTGCAGTCGAATTCAAGAGATCCAATCCAGCCACGCTGGGAGCACAATTGAACGTGCACTCTACAACCAACGCCCGAGTCGCGCAGCCCGAGGACAAATTCTAGGTTACGTGTGCAATTTAATTCAAGGTTCCAATCCAGCCACGCTGGGCGCGGATAGCAAAAATTCGATGGGCCCTCACACTGCCCCCACCTCGCCAGCACCAGCCTCCGCCGCCGAGGACTCACGCCGCCTCCATCGCCGTGAGCTCCTGGCGCGACGCGCCGCCTGGGAGGCGCAGGAAGCCGCCGCTGGGGCGCCCGGAGCTGCGGCGGCACGCGACGCCGGCGGCCGCGATCAGCAGAGGCACGGTGGCGAAAAGCAGCGCTGCCTGCCCGAAGGACGTCCGCCGGCCGCCGTGGCCGAGGGCGCTCTGCCCGTCCGCGCGGCTCTCGTCGTCCTTCTTCATGATCCCGAGCAAGCTGTCCACCCCTGCGAGGGCGCCGACGCTCTGCTGCACCCCGCCGAACGCGCCGGCGGATGGCGTGCACTGGCTGTAGTAGTCGCCGTTCTGCGTGCAGGTCGAGCCTTCTGCGCAGCATGTCGGGCCGGTCCACTGCACCCCGCCGCACTGCTGGTAGGCCGCCGAGCACGCGCCGCCAGCCAGCGCGGCACCCGCCTGCACTGGCTGCAGCGGCTGCTGCGCAGGCTGCTGCTGCTGCTGCTGCTGCTGCTGCTGCTGCTGCTGTGCAGTCTGCGGCTGCGCAGGCTGTGCAGGCTGTGCTGGGCACCACTGCCCCTGGCTTGCACACGCCTTGCAGCTCTCCTGTGACGCCCCGCACTTGGTGTCAGACGAGTACTTCGCAGCGGGGACGCAGCCGTCCGGGGCGCAGAAGTCGGCGCCGCTGCCCGCGAAGCAGCAGAAGGCCTCGGTCGCGGGAGTGCCCTGCACGTCCGCCACCTGCTGCGTGGCCTGCTGGAGCCAGGGGTTGCCCTGCTGCTGCACCTGGCTGGGCTGCTGGAGCGTGACCTGCGACTGCTGGGGCTGCTGCTGCTGCTGCTGCTGCTGCAGGTCCGCGCCGCATGACCCAAACCCCGTGGCGGCGCTGCCGCCAGCGGCGTGTGCAGAGGTTGCCGGCGGCTCGAAATTTGCGTTGAGGGCCAGCTGCTGCACCTGGTAGTCGAACCATGCGCCGGCCTCGGGAGCCCTGGGCTCGGTCGTCTGGGAGCCGATGGAATCGCTGGAGCCGCACATGTTGTCGAAGCGCGGGCACGCGCCGCCGTCGGGCAGTTCCTGGCTGCAGCCGTCCGACTCGCCCGGCGTCTTCAGCCAGAAGTAGGCGTCGATCATGCTGGCGTTGGCCACGTCGGTGGTGGACGGGACTCCGGCGCCAGCGTTGCGGGGATTGCACCAGTTCTTGCAGTCCTGGCGCATGTCCGCGACGCCGTTCCTCCCGGTGTCGATGATGGCGTGCGCGTCCATGCCGAGCAGGTCGTTCGCCGCCAGGATGAGGTCCTGGGCGTAGTTGAGCTCGTTGTTGCCGGCGCTGTACTGCCCCAGCAGGTCGCAGGGGTCCGCGCAGCAGGGGTCTGTCTTGTGCCGGCCGTTGAGGCAGTATGCGTTGCGCCAGCCCTGGTCGGGGCAGAATGGGCACATCTGGCCCAACGGCTGGTAGTTCGCGACGTTCGTGGCAAAGCCGCGGATCTTCGCCATTGGGAAGGCAGCCTTCTTCAACAGGGCCATGAACTTCTCCAGGTTATCCTCCCAGCCGACCCAGCCGCCGTGAGCTGCGTCCAGGTAGACTGACACCTTCGGCACCTGGGTCGTCAGCTGCTCCAGCGCGTAGCCGATGCCCTTCGTGTAGGCGGCCTGGGTGGCGGGGTTGCCACAGTGCGGGTGGCCCAGATTGGTCGCGAGGTTTGGCAGGCTGTCGGGCTCGACGACGACCACGATGGGCAGCTTGGACTCGTACTCCTTGAGCACCTTGATGAAGGGGTCGGCGTACTCCGTCTTGTACTCTTCGATGCCCTCGGCACAGTCCCCCGTCTTATCGTAGTCGCACCTTCCGTCCTCGCCCGCGTAGCAGCAGATCTCACCGTTGGAGGCCAGGGCATCGCAGTCGCGGTTCGGGAGGTCGTACCAGATGACCACCACGAGCTCTGGGGGCGACTTGCTCGAGGCGTCCTTGAGGATGCCCTCGAGGCTCTTGGTGTCTGTACCGCGCACTTTGGCCTTCACGTCGATCCAGTAGGCGGAGGGCACCTTCTGCATCTTCAGCAAGTTCTCCTTCGTCTTGCCCGTGGCCTTCGCAATGGACCCGTCGAACTCCTTGGCGTTCACGGGGTTGACATAGAACGCCTGTCCCTGGAAGGGGTTCGAGCTCGCTGCCTTGCCCTCGGCCGCCGCCAGCAGGCCGGAGCCGAGCACGGCGGCCCACGCAGCGGCAAGCGGCGCCATCACGCCGACTTCGCGGCCCCAGCTGGTGCGCCAGGACGCGCGGGGGAGCTGCGCTGCTGACCCCTGGGCCCACGGGCCTTGACCCCAAACGCCTGCGGAGGAGGGAGGGAGGGAGAGGCACGAGAAGGAGGGAGGAGGGCCGAAGGGGAGCCTCCGCGAACACCGCCCTCGAAACAAGCTCTGTGCTGCCGACGCCTCCATCGGCCGTGCACCTTGCAGCGGCCGCGCCGCTCGGAGCCCTCCCCTCCGACGTCGCGACGTTTCTCGGGGCGCGGGCCCCAGGGGGCTCTCGACCCCCCTGCCCGGGGACGGCCTTCCACCCCAACCAACTCGTTGATTTGACGGTCCTGGGGCCCGGCACGATCCAGCCGGTGGCCCGAGCGGAAAAGAGACTGGCCGTCACGATGTCTCAGTCCGCGAGCCCCACCAGGGCTCTCGACCCTATCCCTGCGGGCACTCTTTCACACAAGTTCCAGATTTGGTGGTCCACGGCAGCCCGTGGAGGCCGAAATCGAAGATGAGTCTAGCGTGGGTCCCAACGAATGAAGTAGTGCAATGCGTGTAGGGCAATGCAAAACGAACCAATGCAACGCATGAGTGGCAACGCAAAGTGGCGCAATCAATGCAAGGCGCAAGCCATGGCACAGGCCATGGGCGCAAGCTGTGACAACCTCGTGGGTGCAGCCCTTGGTGCTCCAAAATCCCTGGACCGGCTTTTGCAGCCTACGACGCGACCTACTGGCGCAACCGATGGCGCAACCCATGGGCGCAACCCGCGGCCCTCCCAACTCCCTGGGCCAAATGCGCAACTTATGGGCGAAACCTATGGGCGCAAGCTGTGGCATACCCACTGGGCGCAACCCATGGCATCCGAAAACCCTGGGGCGAGCATGCGCAAACCATGGCGCATCCAGCCTGTGGCGCAACCCGTGGGCGCAACCTGCGGTACCGCCAAACCCTCAGGCCACCATGCTCAATTCCTCGCACTGCTTGGGATACAGGGAGACAAAGAGGACCCCCGTTAATGCAAGCCAGGATGTAAATCTACTGGCCCCATTGGAGGCCAACAAGCTGTATGGCCTAGGCTGTCCGGTTCCTGGCAACAGTTCCAGTTCCCCCGTTTCCCCGTTCCACTGTTGAAGTGATTGAAATCCGCGCGAGCGGGGAGGGGGCGCAAAGCGCCCGCTGACCACGCCAATTCGACGTGTTCTGAATCCCTGGGGGGGGCCCTGCGACGCCTGAACATGTAGCAGGTTCGCGTCTCCGAGGCCACATCCGAGCAAATCATAACATGTTCGCGCTCCCGAAGCCACAATCCCTGACAATCGCTCCAGGTCGGGGCGCTCGAAGCCACAATCCCCCGTCGCGCTCCCGAGGCCAAAAGCCCCCTTATAAACTGCACTGGACTCGCGCTTCCCAAACCACAACCTCTTGTGGAGCCGCTCGGCTCGCGCTCCCCAAGCCACAGCCCCGTATAGATTACACCACACTCGCGCTCCCGAGGCCATACTCCTTTGTAACTTACAACGGGCTCGCGCTCCCAAGGCAACAATCCCTTAGACATTACGCCAAGTTTGCGCCCCTGAAGCTTCAATCATAAGTAAGTCCCGTCAGATTCGCACCCCACAAACCACAATCCCTAATAAATGACTGCGCAAAACCGTTCTCGAGGCCGCAACCCCATCTAAGCTGCGCAAGATTCGCGATCCCCAAACCACAATCCATCATCACATTCGCTCTCACGAGGGAGGCAACAACCCGCAGTACATTACAGCGGGCCCGCACTCCCGGGGTCATTAATCCCAACTGGAGCACGCCTAGCTCAGTTTGAAGGGGGCTGGAAGGCCCAGCCAACAGCTTCGCCTCAGGCGAAGCCAAGCTCCCGCTCTGTTGTATCGTAGTAGCGATAGTCCCAATGCAAGAGGAGATGCCATCTCAAGCAAGAGGGAATACCTTCTGATCTCAATAACGATTGTGTGCCTCGCGGTGAGGCACAGTCAAATCTGGGTGGCCGGCCGCTTTGAGCCAAGGCGGCCGCGGGCGCCCGCTCGCTTCCACTCCTTACGTCCCCCAGCTCGCTTTAAAGTCGGGGGGGGCGGGAGACGAAGCGTGCGCCCACCGCCCGCATAGCAGGAACAGTTCAGCAGCTAACCTATACAAAGACAGGAAAAGAGACGGGCCCAAAGGAGGTGGACCCGCCATCAAGTTACCTCGCATATATAACGTACTCATCAGGCGGTCTCAGAGCTTCTTGTCTGGCCGGCCCGGTATGGAGTATGTCTTTTCAGGTCATGTTTGAAGGTCTGTATACCTCCCATGACTTGTAGGAGCATCTCTCTGTCGATGCTCCCGTTGGTGTGTCCATCCGCAGTCATGTCGCGGGTATCACATCACTGAACGCTATGCACGATTCCACGCTCCATCATCTGTCGTATCCAACTGATGTGTCCTAAAAGGGCACACCCAGTCGGCTTCTTCAAGACTTTGCTTGACAAGGACTTCAAAACAGACTCAGCATCGATGGTCAGAGTGACCTTGATGCTCAGGCCACCCAGCTCAAGTATATCTTCCAACTGAGTTGGCGTGAGCGGCCCCGCGTGGAGCTCGCGCAGAGTCACAACCGTGGGATAACAGTCCTCCAAATGATGGGCTGCTGCAAATGTCTCTGCTGAGTAGCCTGAGCGGACTTGCAAGCGGCGAGACTTACAGTGCGCATCAATCAAGTGAACGACAGGCTTGCCAGATGACGTGTTTCCACGTGGTAGCAGGTTTGCCCCGCGAATGCCATAGCCTTTGGCGTCGTCATCGGCGTCTCCACTCAGGCGTCGATAGCCTGAGTCGCTATGTGAGTCGACCTCGCCCGTGGGGTTCATCGCCTGGTAGACGATCTTCTTCGGGCAGGCCTGTAACCTTCTTGTGATCGCGCTCAGTCGTCGCACTTTAAGACTGGCCGGTTCTTGGACACGCTGTAGAGATACAACATATGCCATCAACCATACCTGGGTGATCAGGGCGCATGCCAGCGCACCGCTGAGGCTGACGAACATGTCTGCCACCATCTTGGTCGCTTGAGCGTCAGCGTCAGCACAGGTCAATTCAGGATGTTGTGTAGGACGGAGCTGTTTGACAGATTGTATATTGATCCAAAATAACATTGCCGCCCTCATCCTTAGTGTTTCTTACAGCACAATTAGTGTATGCGTGCTTGTTGAATATACACTTACCGACGGTATCCTCAACGCATTTGACATACTTGTCAATAGTGCCCTCAGTACCGGCCATATTAATGTCACCAACATGCTTGGCCGTGAGCAAGTTGTTGCTCGTCTCGAACTCCTCGTCGTAAGACGTAGGTCGGAGGCCGCGTCCTCTGGTGGTTCTCCTGGGCTTAAGTGAGAGAGCCCGTGGGGCGTCCTTAGTGCCTGTGCCCGGTTTCAAGCACTGTAGACAGTGCTTTGACTCGTCGTAGTTCTCAAATCCTGGAAGAATACGGAGCGCAGTTGCCGATCCAGGTGGCAAGGTAAAGCACGCCGCGCGCCCCTTTTCACCAGTTGCCTCAGCAAGTTCCTGATAGGTCAATCCCTTCAGGAAGGCCATGCTGATGTCAAGGGAAACAATGATCAACTGCTTCTTGCACGCTGCCGCGCTAGCAAGTAACCCCTGGTTCGACCTTCTGGCTGTTCCCGAAAATGCTTCGACGTCGAAAACTTCAAGGTCCATGAAGCCTCGAAGTACCAAACGAAGTCGGATGGCACGTTCCATCTCGCCCTTTTCGTTCTTCACGAATTTCCATTTGTATACGTACCTCGAAGTCATGAGGTTCGACGCTTTGGCTATCCCCTGCATTTTAAAACATTTGTTGTCGAACCATGTCTTGAGCTCAGTGAAAAGAGCCTTCGATATTTTCTCGGAATTCGCCTGAATGTCAGCTTTGGCGAGGAGGTCGTCTTCCTTGTCGCCCACCGCTCGCTTTGCAGCGGCGGTAACATATTCTCGCATAGTGGTCACCCGGTCGGCATCTAATGACCTGTGTTGCTGCTCGGACAAGACTACCTTTGAAACTTCTGTCGTAAAGCACAGTTCAACGTATCGACCGTTTTCGTCAGAGTCGAGTCCGTAGCTGTCGTCTTCGACCATGGTGCACAGGGGGGCGTAGTACGTCTCCTCGGTATCGGGATCTTCAGTGCGCCCCCACTTCGGCAGGTGTCCCCGCTGTTCGTCAGCTACAGTGATCAGCGCACTCTGATCAGGAACCATCTGTTTGGGTACGGTAAACAGGTCTTCTAGTGGAGGTGCCTCCAACCATTCTCTTTCCCCTCGCAGTTCTGCGTACCACACCTCCATAACAAGTGACTCAAGATCAGCTTCTGATTTCCCGTAGATCGTAGACAGCCGTCCGTCATCATATTCTGGTTTGGCTTCTGTAGCCTCTCTTGTGGTTCCTTCAGGTGTCGGCGCATCAGCCAAGTCCTCAAACCTTGACATGTCCTGATCGAAGCCTGCCTGAGGTTTAGTGGACTTCAGGCATTGGATGATTCGTGAATGTGGTGATCCAATTATGTCATGTATATTCAGAGCAGTACCTTCTGCTTCGTAGTAGTGGAATCCGGGATTCACGTCGTTGTCGCAATGGGCCAATATGCAGCTGTCAGCGTAAGTAACCGGAGGTAGCTCATGTATACTCTTGGCTAGTCTGACCGAAACTACGTTCTCGATGCGAAAGAAGTTTCTGATCAGATATTGTAGAGCCAAGTGTACCTTTGGAGATAAACGACTTGCGGTTGTCATCTGAAGCGCACCTTTCTTGGTCGGCACATAACCAAATGTCGGGGCAGGTCTCCCCGCTGACAGGCTGGCTACGAACGTCAACGCTGTGCGTAGTGCAGTGTTGTGGGAGCCAATCTCTCGGGCTATGAATGCTTCAATATAGAGAGCGAATGTCTTGCATCGCGCATTGTACTTGAACATCTCGATTGCCTACTCGGGTGATGGCCTGAGGC